AGTGGGGGGGGGGGAAGAGATCAGCGGTGGAGCTGGGGGGGAGGAGATCGACGGGGCCCGGCAGAATACCCTCCCGCAAATATCGCTGGTCCCTCTTCTTGTAAATACCATATTTGTTTCCTAACAAGTGGTTCTTTCCCAAAGGAGCTACTGTGTGGAGTTTAGAACAGAAACATTGTCTCCTCACTGCTCTGTGGAAAGTCGCCCATATGCCCGATGGATGCAGTATCTACGAGAAGGATATACTGTGTGTGTGACTTGTCAGCCTCCAGCTATGCACACTGGCAGACATAGATGTTCTGGAGATGGCAGTGATGCAGATGGGTGAGCAACTGAATCTCTTATTCAAAAACACTCAGTTTTATCTATGCTGTACAAACTTTTAAAGAGACTAAACACTGACATTTTCAGAAGTTTAATGCAGTCTTTATTCATGCACTGAAGCTTGCATGTTTTCAGGCTTAATCTGTTCCTAGTTGTGGTCAAATCTTTCAGGTGAACCACTGACAAAGATAATCCTTTTCTATGTACAAACGAATGGTTTGTACTGTAGAAAATGAAAGGTTTTGCTATGATAGCAGAAAACGTAGAGGGCTAAATCCTCAGTAGCTCCAGATGTGGTCCTTCTTCAGTGATTCTCCTATATGTTCCTATTACAGCCATCCTTTAAAAAAAATTATTTGCTTTGCTATCTCTGTCTGTATCTGCAGCTGCCCATCACTTTAGCCAGGTAAAGTCATACAGGGATCACTTTCTAAATCATGAGTGAACCAAGGCTATATAGACTTTTTAGTGCATTATGAGGAATCTAGTAGATGCCTTGGGACTGGGGTATCTGAAGGACCATCTTTTCTCTGATATTCTTGCCTGGGAATTAAGATCACAGGAAGAGGTACTGTCCCACCAATCAAAGATGCTCATCTGATGGGTATACGAGAGAGACTTTTTGATGGCAGCTCCACAATTATGGAACGATCTCCCCAGGGAGGTGCATGTGGCCCCTTATTTTAAATCTTTAGGAGGCAGTTGAAGATGGTTTTATTCAGAAAGGCTTTTGAATAATTTAGTAGCAGTCTTAAATTGTGGCTTTAAATTCTGGTTTTTGTTATTTATGTTGTATACCACCTTCAGTTCTGTCAGGTAAGAAGGGCAGCGAATAAATGTAAATAGTTACTCCTAGGGCCTTGTGGCAAAAATCCAACAGCTTTTTGAAAGACATTTAAAATGCAATGTGTTATAGTGACTTTGAGAATACAGCGAATTCAGTATGTTTTTATGTTAAGTACTTCTCACACCAGCTGCTGGAGCTAACATTTCTTGCAAATAATTTTCACAAAATGTTAAAATATAACGTGATTCAGTGTTGAAGTGGTTCTTTTACTTTTTTTTTAAAAAAATACTACAATGGTAAGAAAATACTTGAAGCAATCATAACTTCTGTTCCTTTTTAGGAATGCAGTTCTTCAGTGGCAAGCAGTTGGCAATCCTTTATGCCATGGAACATGGAAAAAAGTTCAGCAAATGGAAGAATGTTCATGTCCTCTTGTACATAGCTTTATTTTTACATAATAATTTGAATTTATACCTTTTAATATCTTTAATTGAATTGATCTGGAAACTACACTACTGTTGGGCCTGTGTAACTCTGTTGCTTTTGAAAAACAGCCAAGTCAAGATTTTGGAATCATTCTTTGTGCTCTTTCTTGCAGAAATTAGAATGGAGTTAAACTGAACCATGTTATAATTAGTTATATTTCTGCAGTGGCATTTTTTACTTTCACATAATCCACTGGCAGCAATGCTTGCATAAGTCCCATATAAATGGAGATTTAGGAAAGTATTTGCAACCACTTTAGAAGAGCCTAGTGAGTCCCACAGCATACTCATCATATGGTCCTTGAGAGATATTTGCCGGAGGCCTATCTGCATCACATGAACTAATGATAGGGGTAGCTTCACTGGGGCCAGTCTTTATGGGAGGGGGAGGGGCTGGGGCTAGTCAACCATATACAGCTGCTGTGCAGCCAGAGTAAGTTGTCACTATGTGGCACCTGGCCATTAAGGCCTTCCCAAACTACTACAGGATAGGTCACAAGTAGCTTTGGAGATACTGTAGCTTTCATAGTGCATTCTTCTGAGACTCACTTCTGTAGAGCAGGGGTTTTCAAAGCAGCTTTCCCACTATAGCTGCAGGTAATGCTCTGCCTCTATACATCTAGACTGCTTTCCTAGAACATTTCTGTGATAGATGGGGCCTCAACACTTCTCTGAGCATTTAAGTCTGCAATGAAGCCTTTACATTTTTTTGGACAAATACAAAATAGCCTTTCCAGGGATTCATTTATGTGTTCTACTCATCAAGAAATAAATTAGAGTGACCTACATGTAAGAAAACCGATTCCTGGTTGGTTTAAAGATTTGTCAGTACAGATTGCATTTAGTACAGACCAGAGAATCTCAACAATAAGCCAAGTCTATAGGAATGAGTGTACTGGTGGGCTAGAGACTCAACCAATGCTCCCTCTAAGCTGTGGAGTCTTGTGAGCAAAAATTATACTTTGTGAGCTACTGGCATTAAAGTTGTGAGCAAGCGATTTGGCTACTGCATAAATTAGTTTGCTCTGGCGCCATCCTTCCTGAGCTGGAGGCTAAAAAACTGAGCTAGCTCACACTAACTCAGCTTAGAGGGAACACTGGACTCAACTCCTGTACAATTTAACCCCCCCCCCCGCCTCCTTTAACTTGACACTTGCTGGATGTCTGAAACCTGTGCCTAATACAGAGAGGAAAAAATTAATTTAGCTAACCATGAGAGCATTAGAATTCTCAGCTTGTATATTAAAGGTAGATGTGCTGATAACTGGTCTCAGCTGACAAGTGCAACTGCTGTGCTTCTTTTCAGTGGAGCCAAGGTAGCTTTATACTTGGCCAGTAAAACCAGACTGCAGTCAGACAAGATGTTACACTAGCAATACAAAATATTTGCCAACAACTCTTTTGCATGCGTGGAGTTCCTACAGTAATGGAGAGTTGAAAACTCTTCATGCTCAAAGGAGTCATTTGCTGTCACAGGCTATCCGTATTAAATGAGCAAATGTTGTACTTTTTTCATGCATAGCAATATGAAAGGCCTTTAGTGTGATTCTGAACTTGTTTTTCAGCAATCTCATTAAGTTCAGTAGCACAGTGTTATTCAGTTTAGTAACAATATTAATGCTGGAGATAAGAGCTTTATTTAAGATCAGTCATGATCAGTTCACTAGCCAACAGTCAGTATTATTGCTTTATTGACACTAAACTATTTACAAGAACCAAGTTGCATACAGAATGAACAAAATAATTGAAAAAAAAAATTGGCATTGAAAGTACACATTAAAATACATTATTTTACTTCTACAGAGATTAAGCAGTTGAAGTTAGAAAGACAGCTAAACAATGCGTAACTGAACCATTGTCCTCCACCTGTCTTTCAGCATTACATTAGTTCGATTCTTGAAGTCATAATGCTGAAGAATCTGAGTCCAGTTTCCTACTCCAAACTTCTTTACACCATCCTTCAGTTTCTTGTCTTCTTCAAAACTCCAGCGCTACAGAGAAAAAAAAACTGGGAATTTCAACTATACATACACATTTAAACCACTCTTTTTTCCAGTTTAGCTGAAACAGAAAGAAAATTCTCCTTCACTTCCTGTCAGCCTTTCGTTTTGGAACAGAGTTAACTGCAAGCTTGCAGTGCTTCAGAAAAAGTTGTCCCCCAAGCTAGAGTGATGTAGCAGCAAGACTAAGGGTCCCCCCAAGAGGTAGTTCATGAAGTATTGGTAGATCACTAGCTGTTGCAGAGTAGTTCATGCATAGAAGACCCAGGAAAAGATCACAAAAAGATCTTAATTTTTTTAAAAAAACTTTTAACACATAGGATTTTTCTTTGAGCTGCTTAAGCTTAATAGCTTCACTGCTGCTCTCAGTCCATGTTCAGTTTCCAGGTCAGAACAAAATGTGGTCATATGCTGGGGAGGAATTTTTTCATTCCTCTAAAATAGTTTTCATTTAATAAAAGACTAGTAACCTGGGAGACCCAGGTTCAAATTCCCACTCTACCATGAAGCTCAACGGGTCAGTCTTAAGATCCAGTACTGGGATCTTGGACCAATCATTCTCTCAACCTAATCTATCTCACAGGGTTGTGTAACTCCAGATTGCCAAAGAGAATCACATTATTATTAATGATACAACTATCTCAGCTGCCTTTTTGGCAGAGAGACAGGCTAAATTTTTTTTAAGTAATACAACACAGAACGTGAAATTAAGCAAGAGGTAATTCACTTGACAACTCGGTGTTACATGACTCACTGAATAACATCTGAACTAAAAAATTCAAAAGATGAAAATCCACACAAACAAGTTAAACTAAGAACATAACAATACTGTAAGCAGCTATGAATCATGACATAATGTCTGCCTATTGAAATAATTAAACAATAGTAATGTTGAACAGAGGAAACAACGCTGTTAGAAGTCATTTACAGTATTCTTTCATGCACAATCTTCTGTAAGCATCTATCACCACTGAAGAGCACATTTCGTTTGCCTGGAATACTAAAAGTGCTGCTTTGTGCCCTCAGATTCCATTAAAAGAATTATGAATTAATAGGAGAAGCCAGGTACATGCTTATTTTACAAAGAATGTTTTGTAATTGTTGAGCAGGAGGCAGATCTTAGAAACGGCCAACTTCTTAGCCTTAGGGGGCCAGAACCTCCTTCAGCCAAGTTCCTCTTGGCTGCCCTGAGCACAACCAAGGTTTTTGAGCATAGGAGAGAATGGCATAGAGCAGAGTGCTTTGGTACCATTTTCTGAAGCATGACTCCTTGCTGTCTTTCCCACTACTCCCGGACTAACTGATTTTCTACAGGCTCTGAGCAGCAGCTAGGGAATGCCTGTCTTTGGATTGGCCTGAGCTATATGAACTTACAGCCTAGCAGGGCAGCAAAAAGTGCTATGTTTTAATGATGACTTGTGAACAGCCAGTCACACTTGGAAAGTCAGAGGCTCCCTTTCTGCAGGAAGTTCTGCAAGCCGAAAGAGCACAATTTTTGTTTGATTGCTTGTTTTCTTTCAGAATGTTGATGTGTCACATGTTTATGAACAGGGCAGGCAATCAACACTAATTATCTAATATGCTTATATACTTTTAGCAATGCTGGAATAATGGCTGCAGGAGCTAGGCTAAGCACCTTTGAGCCTGATTCTGCTCACAAGGTGCCAGCTGGCTAGAGAAAAGTCTGCATGCAGATGGAAGTTCTTAATGTTTTGACTCCAACACTAAATGGCTAGATTTATCGCACAGTAGCAGCTAGGTCACATTGTGCCTAGGTGCAAGAGAAAGATGTTTAAAGTTTGGCCATAACTCTGTTGATTTCATGAGAGCCATGGTCTTTTAACAGTTAAGACAACCATTATCTAGTGATGGTAACTGGTAACCATACAGCACTAAAAGCAGGATGATGTATGTTTGGGCAGTTTGAGGTCAAGCACATTTTTCTTCCATTGGCCAGCAAACAGACACCAATCCTCAAGGATTTAAAAGGAAAACCAGTCAACCTTCTATTTTTAAAGGTGAAGGAGGCAAAGAATTAAGTCACATGCTAAGAAATAAAGATAGGTCCATATGTTACAAATCAGGTGGCTTTTGGCAGCCTTAGAGTAGTTATGGTCCCTTTTGTATTTGTAGGGATTAAAGCCTGGGTGTGTCCAGAGGCATGAGCAAAAGGGCCTCTGTGCTTGCAGCCTCAGTCAGCTGGCTCGGTGGATTTGGGACCAGCCCAGGAGTTGTGCTGCATGTTTTGCTTTTTCTTTGTGCAAATTATATTTTTCTGATTTTTAAAGTCACTCTGGGTCCCTGGTGGGGAGTAAAGCAGCTTATAAAGTACCTAAACAAATATGAAAGGGAGCTCAGAAATAATGAAATAAGGCATCCATAATAGTTCTGTTCATTTCATTACACTCACACTATTTTGCACTCTTATACATACCTGTTTCTTCTTACCAGCAGGCAGACAGTAATCACCTTCCTGAATATTTTCAGTGCTCTGCAAGACTTTCTTATCTAATTCAAGATCACAAAATATTGGTGTATTAATGATATGATACTAGGGGCTTAAATGCTGCTTTATTACAGACAGTGCCAGATTGGTTCAACCAGCCAAATTGCAACAGCCAACATCTGAGAATCCATGTAGATGACAGTGGAATTTATGCAACTCTTTGGAGAGGGGCTACTGTCCCACTACAAATTTTCAGAGACTAAAATGCAGGGAAACTGAAACTCCAAGCAATACCCATTTATATCCCATATAAGGCACTTGGTTAATTAGTGCTTATTCAGCTATGGGGCTCAGAATAGCCAATATACTGTCTCTTCCCTAATGAATGCCTCCATCCTTTGAACCTGGAACAAAATACTGTTTTTGATAGTTGTCTGTCAAAAAGCTCTAGGCACCGAATAATGTGTATGTGTGTGGGGGGAGCTATTCTATAAAGTAGTGGAATCAATTTTGCAGTAGCAAAAGTAGTTGATCACACACAGAGGCATCACAACCCTTTCCAATACAACCAATTTGTAGTACACTGCAAGACTTGTCCACAAACTTCAATCTATTATCAATCAGAAACTGGCTATGGTAGTAGAAACATTAAGCTTTGCCACTTCCAGTGCCTGTAGATGACTACAGTATAAGTTATGCTACAAATACAGATGAATTCAGTGGCTCAAGCTTTTAGAATTTGAGTTTTATATTCAAGGTCCACTGATCTGCACAAGTTACAGTCAGTAGGTTGTCTTCACATATGGTAGTCAGAAATTGTTTATACCAATTCTGTGTCATAAACTGAACAGTAATTAGCCCATATTTAAACAAAGAGTTAATTGGTTCAGTATTATATAGCCATACGAGCATACTGTTCTTCACAAACTAAAAAGTATACCAATTAGCATTTATAGTATAATTATATTTAAGCTACATTCCTTAAATCTGCAGTTCAGATAGACTAAGCAATACTATGCGATACTAAACTTCAGTATTTTAATAATTAACCCATCTATATTAAAATTGATTTATTATACAAAGAACGAACACTTACTTTGGAGAGTTTTCCGTTTTGTAATTTTTGTTCCATTGGGATGCTGTATCTGTTCCAAATTCCAAAATGCTTGGCCAGTTAAGGAACAAGACTGTTTATGTGATCTATAAGAAAATGAAACAAAGAAATGAAAAAAGAGAAGCTGTCCTTGAATATATGTCCCAAAATTCTGGACCAATTGTTTTGCAGCTGTTCAGTGCATTCAACTACCACCATATGCTAAAACAACAGAAAATCCTAGTGATGTTTCTTCCCTAAGGAAAGAAAGGAGTGGGGTAAAGGCCAAAATACTGGGATAATTTCTGTGCCCCTTTCTATTTTATTAAGGTGCTATATTTGCAAGAAAAAGGTAGCACAATAAAAAGCGCAGATTTTTAAAAAATTCATTGCATCTGAGGGTTCCTTGAAACTGGAATACTGTGCTTAGTGGGTTAAATGTAGGTTGAGACAAGGGTTATTTTGATTCACTCAGATGGTAAAAAGCTTTCTGGTTCACCAATACTGGGCTCAGAACTGTACAACACAAGTTCAGAAGTTACAATGTTTCATTTAACAAGTCAGTAACTGTCTTCAAACCTTGGCTTTCAGCCAACACATCTCAGTAAGCGCTTGATACTTATTAGAACAGAAATGAGCTTCTCTTCTCCAAAAGAAAGCCCTTTTAATTCCCTCTTCAGTGCGAGGAATTTTGAGACAGGTCCTGATTTCATAACTATCTTGCAAAGGTAAAGGTTTCCCTTGCTCGAAAGCCAGTTGAATCCGACGCTAGGGGGCAGTGCTCATCTCTGTTTCCAGTGCTGTCCGAAGACTTCTCCGTGGTCATGTGGCCGGCGTGACAAAATGCCGAGGCGCACAGAACACTGTTACCTTCCCACTAAAGTGGTACCTATTTATCTACTTGCAGTTTCTTGCTTTCGAACTGCTAGGTTGAAAGGAGCTGAGGCCAGAGATGGGAGCTCACTCCGTCACGCAGCACTCGGGTCTCAAACTGCTGAGCTACAGACCTTCCGGTCTGCAGCTCAGCAAACTCTGAACCACCATGGCCCCATAACTATCTTACCTAGCTCTATCTAGCAATTTAACTGTCTGCTTCCACCATCCGTTTCCCTTCTCCTCTCTCTCCTGATTGACTGGTTCATTGCTGAGTGGTACTGATTGGTAAGAGCCTGGACATGGCTTTTGGTCGTCATGCCTAGATATTATGGAAATAAACTGATGAAAAGTCTCACCAGCTTCTATACTATCTCGTCACTACAGAGCTGTATAGCAAAAGCCATACTTCAAGATGTTAAAACTTTTTAACATGTCGCAGACCTCTGCATGCATTCCAAGAGTTTTTCTGCAGCAGCTTCACTTTCACTGTTGCATTGTACAGCTGTTATTTTTTCTGATTTTTTAGTTTTTGCTTCTTTTGCAGCTTCCTGCAAAACAAAGTTGTGATGCTATTTTAATCACAGACAACAGTAAAAACATCACAGTAATTAAAAAAACACATTAGTACTACCCTGCAGTTTTAATGTACGTATTTTAATGAGAAACCAATCCACCAATTTACAACTTAAACAACTAAGCCACACACAAACAACTGGAAAGTTTCTAATCTGTGGGCTGGATCAAAAATGCTGTCAGTGCATCTGCACTAATAGATCAGAACTTCCCTCTGCTTGGCTTCTCCTGCTGTAGCCCACTGAGCTCACCGAAAGGCTGATCCTTAGGGACAGGGAACGTTCAGGAGCAGCATGGGAGAGGGATGTGCAGGGCTGCAGCGAGAGGCGATGGGTAAAGAAAAACAGGAACACACTCTTGTCATGGTGGCAGCAGAAAATAATACCTGGATCCAGCTCAGGGTTACCAATATTTTGTTCCACCTTTCAGTTTGTTCTATTTTTACGATTTGTTTCACCTTTCACAAAATGGGGTATTTTTGTGGCAAGTTTTCCTTCTTTTTAACCTACCTTCATTAGAAAATTGTCGGATTCTTCATTCAACAACATACTAATGTAATATTTGATTTTCTCATTCAGAAGATTGAAACTGAAGTGCCGGAGAAATTGGTGATATGGATCCTTTTGTTTTGTTATTCTAGCCAGCTTCATTCTTAAAGGCTAAACAGAAAATTCAGAATATGTCAAAACACAATGGACAATGGACAAATGTTAAATTGACTAGAATATGCCATTACAAACCTGCAACAAAGTTTGGCCTGTCCAAGTGATATCAACAACAGAAATCTTTTTGCAACTTATCTATGTGCCTTGAGTATTTTAGAACTATTACAATCCATTTTCTAGATTGTAAGAGTTGATGTGTATGACTTCTGGAAATAAGTGAAGGGATTATATACACTACATTAAAACAGTGATGGCCAGCTCTTTCAGCTTTAAAGGGTAGTTTTCTCCAGCCAGTCTCCTTATGGAAAGCACACCCAAGCCACTCCTGCTCACCCAGCCAGCAGACATCTCTTCCACTGAGGAATGGGAGACTGATACAGTGTGTCAGCTGCCCACTGCCTAATGGGAAGGACATCAGTCAGCTTGCCAGCTGGAAGAGAGGCAGAACTCAAGTGTAAGCCAGGCCTTGATCCCCCACCCTCCCAAACCTGGGAGTCTTCTTTTCATATTGGGAGAATGAGGGAGGGAGTTCCCCTTTACCCCAAGACTGCCTACAAGTGACAGCTGGCATCTTGCCAATCCTTCCTTGCATATGGAGGGACTGTGGTCCAGATCCAGTCAAAGCACTACCAGGCTGGCAACCTCATCATTCATATAGCCTTCAATTAGCTATAAACATTTATTTGATATCATACATTAAAGGGGCAAAAGAGCAATTGGTATTATAAAACGGTGTGCTTCAGAAACAGCACATTTAAGATCTAGAACAATAATTTCATCAGATGCAATGGAATAAATGTGTCAAATCTTAAGTTACCACAACAATATATGGACTCAATGAAATAGAATGAAATTTTACTTTTATTCAGTTGGGCACCTGCAAATTAGGGTCTACACTCAAGGCCTGCAAATTAAGGAAGCAATCAGGCTATGGACCTTATACTGTACAGGTGTCCACTTGTGAGTCAACACTAAGGGTAAACCATTAGTGTCTTTATATTTTAAATTAGCAGACCACAAAGAGATTTGCAATTGCATTCTAGAACATTAGCACCTGCAGTGAGAGTGATCCCATAAAGGCAAGCCTTGCTCTCCAAAGCTTATACAGTTAAAATGATTTTTCATCTAAGAAGGTTTGATACAGTTCGCCCCTAGAAGGCTCACTTTAGAATATTGGGTTTTACTAAATCTTTGTATTCACCAACACAACAATTCAGCATTACCTCATTTGAGATAGATTCTGGAAACAGTCTTTCTAGGACTTCTGTAGCTTCCTTAAAATAGCCCTTTTCCATGTGCACTGCCACAGCCTACAAAGAAAGGAAAACAGGCCTGCCTGTCACTCTTACCAGTGAGCTCTGGGCTGATAAAAGGCATTGCCTTCACTGAGGTTTTCTGATGAAAAATCGAGCATTTGTAATAGACAATACGGGTGAAAGCTACTTGAGCAACGTTGTGTGAAGACCAATATTTACTGATACCCTTTCCCAATATTCTACCCTATGCCACAAGATTATGACAACTGATCAAGTGATCACATGCAGAAGCTAAAGCACAGTGGTGTTTTAACTTATTATTACTTTCAGTATTGTATTGTTACTTTTGACCTTCTCTTGCATTGCATCTTCAATAAAATGACCACATAAAGCCACAAACCAACCTGAATCTGAATTAAGTGTTTGATTTCTTCATGCAGTTTATCTGGTATGCTTTGTAGTTTCTGAAGTGAAGTCCAAGCTGACAGAGCATTTTCCAGAGGTGAAATTGTTTCATCAGTCCCAAAATGAGAATCTTAAGAGAAATAAATTTAGAAGGGGTAGGAACAACTCCTATAGCAGAAAAACAACAACACTGCTACACAGCAATTCATTGCACACATATGGGAACTGAATTAGCAGACCCACAAAGAGATCTGCAATTATACAGAACCTTAGCACCAGCAACAATGGTGGTACCCTAAAGTCAAGCCTTGCTTTCCCAAGCTCATACAGTTAAAATGATTGCACGCTGTTTGTAAAAGACAGCTCTCCAGATAAAATTTTCAGACACAACAAGCATTTGAAGTGCTTGGAATGGATAACTGTAGTTCTGTTAACTGCTGAGGTCATATTAGCTTACACACAAAATAGGAGAATACAAGAGTAAAGTAGAATGTGACTTCCACCAACAGGAAAGCAAACATACAGTTACCTTGAACACCACCAGAATACCAGCTGCATGTCTTACCAGCACCTTCCTCCTGATTTCCCCACAGAGCAAAGAGAACTGAGTGGAAGGTGTCTTGCACCCTCCTCTCAAGTCCTCTGGCATAAAGAAGCATTAAGGGGAGGAGGGTGTCAATTTTTCACCAGCTCAGAAAGAGCTGCTTCTGTAGTATGGTATAGAGACCATTACATACCCCTGGGCTTCCATTAAAATCTGTTACAGGGGCACCCAAAAAGACACCAAACGTGATAGAACTTTCCAAAAATCTCTTGACCTTAAGACTATAGGGAATACAGAAATAAACTCTCTGAAGAATGTGTGGCCAAAGGATGCCAGATGTGAGGGGAAATGCAACCCCTTTCCATCAAAGGGTCTACTGATCAAGGCGAAGGAATTGATACAAGGCATTCTCTGCATGAGAACAATATCCCAGATACACCAGAGATGAATGGATCAAAATCTCTTTTGAAACTTCAGTGTTCTTCATACCTTCTTGGGCATAAAACATGACCTAAGTTTTGTAAGATACATAATCAAGTGCAATATTGTTAGCAAATGCAATTCCACGATAATACAATAAGCAACCCAAGGAGGACCATTTGATCAACTGGAAGACAGCATCAGCATATCAGTGTCAATATTAACACCTACTCCAAGTGAATCCTACACGCATAACCAAGTGCCCCCCCCTTTTCCATAGAGTGGCTACATTAACCTATCATAGCCTAAAATTCTCAGTATACTGCAGTAGGATCTCAGATCCAGAGATGTGCCAATCAGGATGCAGCCCAAAGTTAACCAATGACAGTTAGGTTCCAAAGTCCTTGGTCCAATGGCACAAAAGATCCAATATTGGGCCAGTACCAACCCCATAGGTACAAAGCTAAATTCAGGGGCATAAGAGAGGCTTCCCAGCACCCCTCTCCTTTGCAGGTGCTCCCATCCAGAACCATCTTCCAATCACCACGAACACATCAATGGACACTTCCTCACCAACACACAGGAGTATGATTTCTTTCTCCCCCATTCTGCTTCCCTTCTCAAATATGACCTTTCCCATTTTTCTTCCCAAGTCCCACATCTTAGCTCTTCCACTTCACATTATGATACAGCTTGTCTTACTATAGCTGGTCCTTCCACATTGCATCCTATTTAGGAACTCCTTTCCTCTTACTCTAAGCTCTTGTTCCTGTTTCCCCAAAAGCACCAAGTAGTCTAAAAGTAGCACAGTGGATAATCAGATAAAACTCTTTCTAATTTTTTTTCAAGATAACTGGCTTATATCCTACCTGCCTGCTCAGCCAAGTTCAAAACTTTCCTCCAGGATAAAAGCTTTCCTCTGACAGAAGTGGTTCTTCCTCTGGCAGAAAAGTCAGGCTACTGGAGGAAACCTTCGTCAGCCAGAAGATCGCTTAAGGCTTGGCTGAGTGGAGTAGCAGGATACAAATAACTGTTTTTAATCTTTCAAAGGCCTGACGAAGAGTGACAAATAATGACTGGCTTTTTTGTTGTTGTTGTTCAGGTCGCACAGTCGAGTCTGACTCTTCGCGACCCCATGGACCAGATCACGCCAGGCCTTCCTGTCTTTCGCCGTCCTCTGAAGTTTGCTCAATTTCATGTTCATTGCATCTATGACACTGTCTAACCATCTCATCCTTTGCCATCCCCGTCTTCCTTGACTGGCTTTTAAGGTTGGCCAAAACATGTCTTTTTACCTCTGCCTTTGTCTCTCTCTTGGCAAAGAAACTCAAAGCAGCTTACAATGAGAAACATACATCAGTTCAAGTTGATTAATGACATATAAGAGTATAACAATGGAAATGTAAGAAACTTAACAATTTACCAAGTGATTTTCCTTCTGCAACACAAACCAATAGCTGACAAATGCATATTGTTTTCACTTGCTGAGCTTCTATTCTGCATAACCCTTTGATAATAGCTGAAAAGAAAAAGCAGAAATGATTATATGAATTTTGCTCCAACGGCGCCACTGTGTGGCTAAGTAGCATCAGTAACCTTGGGCTGTGATTCCCAGTAAAGTGATCTAGAATTAAGTGGCATTGAAAACTATAAATTATCCTCCAAATGAGTGTTAGTAAAATTTGGGTATTCAGGAACAACCTTGTGGCTTACACAAGGTTAATTGAAGTAAACATGACTGGTTAAATAAAATTAATCATGTGTGCATGTACTTCTTTTAAAAGGAAAAGTGCTCTAACAACACTCATGTTTTATGGTTATTATTGTAAACCACAAAGGGAGCCAAAGGAGGAGGCAAAGTGATAGACGGAATCCCAGTATATGATCCATAAGAAGTGAAGGTTGAGGTTATTTTTATTTCTGGAAGCAGTTACAATGCAACACACAGCAGTAGTAAAAGAAAGATAAGGCTTCCACAACTGTTAAGGCTGAAATATACCATTATAGGGTAGTCATTGGGGGACAATGGGTATGTCACTGGCTCCAGATTCTAATCTCCACTCAAGTCACAAAGCCCACTGAGTGACCTTGGACCAGTTGCCATGATTCAGCCTAGCCTAGCTAATTGTTGTGTTGACAGAAAGGGATAATCCCATGGATGGTCAAGAGGATACAGCAAGATAAAATGGTTTTGTTTTGAAATTACACCAGAATCCACTACTTCCAAGTCAATTGACCTAACCCAGCAGGCCTATTCTCATTAGACCCTCAGTATGCTAAAAAGCTTCATATTTCCAGTTATCCTTATTGTGTTGACTGGTAACGGTTTGGTAGCTACAACTTCCAGACAGAAATTTAACTCTAGGAAAAACATGTATGGCCCATTTTTTTAGGCAACAAGAAAGAGTTTGTATCTGCACAGAGATAGAAGAAGAGTTGGATTTATACCCCTCCCTTCACTCAGAGTGGCTTACAGCTCCTTCCCTTCCACTCTCCATAACAGACACCCTGTGAGGTAGGTGGGGCTGAGAGAGCTCTCATAGAACTGCTCTTGAGAAAACAGCTCTGAGAGAACTGTGACTGACCTCAGGTCACCCAGCTGGATGCATGAGAAGTGGGGAATCAAACTCAGTTCTCCAGATTAGAGTCCACTGCTCTTAATCACTACACCAAACAATATGACAAGAGCTTTGTTAAATTTCTGACTGCCATTTAAAATACTTTAATATCTTCCAATCTTTATAACCCTAAAGCAGTTCATAGTACAATGTCCTTAAAAATATAAGGGACAGCACTACAAAGGAAAAACCTGAGAGAAAAGCAAACTAAATTTATATAGCCCCAAACACCCATGGAAATAATCATAACTTGCCATCTGCACTCCACAAAGGATAGAACAAGACAGCAGAATTCCCTTGGAAGGGAGCTCCACAAAACAGGTAACACCCCTCAAAGAATCTCTCCTTACATAAAGAGCTAGTGTATTTAAGAAAGAGGGTGTTATGGGACAGGGCCCAGATAATCCAAGGAAACCCATATAGGTGCAATACCCTGGTACCCAGAATTTTGGTCAGGAAACCAATGAAGTTGATGCAAAATGGAGTAACATGCTCCATGCAGCATGCCCCTTGCTGTGATTTAGCTTCCACTTTTTAAAATCAGTCTTATGTACAGTGGGTGACTAACCTGGATGTTACCACAATGTAAATGATTCCAGGCAGCCTTCAGATGAAGTACCACATGAAGCACATAAAAGGCAATCTAGGCCACTATCGCTAGCTGGGCGCTGAAGAGCCAATGCAGATCTAAGATATCCACCAAAGTAGCAAACCTGACCTTTAAAGGGAGCATATCCCTGCTGAGAACAACCTGCACACTTATCCCCAAATCCACTGACTTTACCCCATCTCGACCATCATCTATATTCCTTCCTGCCTCTTCAGTTTACACTCGTTAGGATTGCCAGTTTTTAAAGTGGATCGTCTAGCTGTTTAGCATAATTTTGATTTGCAGCAAATACCAGATATCATCTCCATGCCATGAAAGGTAGTGCAGGACATTTTTCTGCTGGCCAGCTGGCAGCTTTACCAGAAATTAACGAAATGAAGGAGGAGAGCGGGGCACCGCATGCCAAATCCCCACGGTAGCTGTCAAAAGCCCAGAGACCCTGCCCTGAAACAACAGGCTAGTTTGGAATTCCTCATTTTTCTCTCCGGCTTCTGAGGCCCAATCTGCATCTAGCATTTGCTCCCTTGTTGTACCAAACCCACATTGGAACAGAAACAGATGTGTCTCAAAACCACATTCAAATACCCCAGGCTAATGCCTACCGACTGCAGAGTCATGGACCATAAATCTATGCAGAGTCATGGACCATAAATCTATGCAGACAGCCACCATAAAACCAGAGATCAAACGAAGTGAAAGCGGCATGCAGTCTGGACACTGCCCTAAAATTCGACAATCAAAGTGAAAGTGGCATGCAATGCAGAGGGGAATTCCTGTTCCCCTGTGGGTTTGGAAAGACAGCTGAGGTCGGCCTCCTGCGCCTGTAACAGCAGCCGCGGAAAGGCTTGATTCCTGGTCAGCCGAGCCACAGTGAGAGGACAACAAGAGAGAGTGGGTAGCTTTCACGCCACTGGCTTGCCCCACATCCCGCCACGCATCGCGAGAATAACAGCATCGCTCACTCAGCAACAAGTCGCGGCTCCTCTCGAAGTCCCGCCGATTGCCCTCACAGAAATGGCGGCACAGACAGCGGCACGCAAAATCCAGCATCCATCCGGCAGCCACCGCTTCCACCTCAGAGAGGAGCACCGGAGATCCCGGGGACTGTTGGTCGGGCGCAGCAGGCGACGCGGGAGGAGAGGCGTCACCACAATCCGTCAATCCCGCCTGTCCTTCCATTTTCAAACGGCTCGCGCGCCGACACTCAAATTCCAATACCTCCTGTAACAGGCCTTCCCTCATCAGAGGGCGTTTTAGCCCAACCCGATTAACCAATGAGCGCCCGAGTTACTTTTATAGCCGCACAATGGAGACGAGGCTTTCGCCGTGTCCTCACTTCCGGTTTCGCACTGAATGACGCCGTACACGGGGCAGGAACACAAAGCAGGACAAGCACTATTTGTTTTATGTCCTCCTGTGCTATTTCTCTGTCGCGGTAGTTAGAAAAAAATGGTGCTTGAGCTTTATAATTTAATCCAGCAGGAGCAGAAATTTAGAGGTTTTGTATCATTGATCGTTCTAATTGTGGGAAACAGAACGAGGGTATCAGTGCAAAAGGTTCCCTCGCTATCCTTAGAGGAGGCTACCACTTTGGAAGTTGACCTCGGAGCGAGCGAGAGAGCGAGCGGAGAAAAAACTGAATCTGCATGGAGCCTCATGAGTGCTCTAGGCTTATTTACGTACAACACCCGCCCGATTCACCATCGAGTCACAGATGTCCTCCACGCTATCTTAGATGACCCGTTTATGGACTTCGATGGGATTTTCATGTAGTCCGTGTAAAAATCATGACGATATATATTTGTTAATGGAATATTTTGCACAACGGGGAGCCCTACGAGGGGATGTATGTCTTTGTGGGGCAGTCCTTGGACGAGGATGTGAAATGTAATAAAATTGTAGTTTTGTGTTGTTTCAGTGAAAAAATCAGGTGAATTCATGACCACCTAAAACTATATCCAACTTTTTACTCAGTCTCTAAACCAGCAACTCCTTTGTTTCCCGTGCCTTTGATGTTAAAAGAAACAGGTGGTGTCTTCTGATATTTTGCTTTCCGCTCTAGTAACTCATGGATGCCGATCTCTGAATGGCAATTTATCCTCCCATCTTTTCAACCATAAGGTCTTCGAAGTGGCTTACACTTTTAATAGAAAACAGTATATTGGCTTAGGCAACCAACTTTCAGAATTTGCTTCCTTACACTTTCAGAAGGCGCAGGAGCTCTTTCTGGGCACTCCGCTTTCTCTCTCTGCCTTTTTGCATGCCTCCCTTGATATGTCCTGCCCACTCTTCCTCCCCTGGAAAGAAGGATCCCCCCCTCCTTGCATATGCAAGTCTGTAGGGAAGTCTTTTAAAAGCACAGACACACTTCCTGATATACTGCTTTGATATCCTATGTTTTTTGTGCAAATTTTATTTTTAATGGGTTTGGCAGGGATATTTAGTATTACTTTTGATCCTGGTGGGGACTGTTCCAGAGGGTCCTGATGGCCTGCTTCATTGTTCTCAGCCTACTAGATAGATTGATTTTTTAAAAAAATCTTTATTAATTTTAATTTAGTGTACAATACAATAATCAAAGATACAGCGTAATACAGTGCATCAATCTACAAGAACGTCATCTAAATGGAAGAAATTGAAACCTACAAGGTTAGCCACTTTAGATAAAGAGGGGGAGAATATCTAGAATCTCTAAGTAGGAGACTACGGGGAACCAAGTTGACACAAATGTGGAGTGTCCGATTGTGAGCACTTAAGCGAATCAGCAATTTTTGCCATGACAAGGTGTTCCCATAGCTTGTCCTGCCAGTTTGTTACTAATGGTGCTGCTGGAGATTTCCAGTTTGCAGCAATGGTCAGGCAGGCTATTGCTAGTAGAGTTGATGTAATTTCTTTTTTATGATCTTGAATAGAACCATCTCAGTGGTTTAACAGAAAGGATTCAGGCGAGAGATATTTTGAGTTGTGATATTCTCAATTTGTTGTTTCACATCCATCCAAAACTGTTGGATCTTGGGGCAGGACCACCAGCAATGCAGGTAAGTCCCCTCTTGTCCGCACACTTTCCCACACATAGGGCTGTTGGTTCTGCTAAATTTGTGTGTTTGCTGTGGGGTTAAGTGGTCTTGAAGAACTGTAATTTTATATTGTATTTCTTTGAGCTATTTGCTGGCAAACCCCAGATATTTTCCCAGTCTGTCTCTTGCCAGTGCACCCCTAGCTCCTCCTCCCACTTTGCTTGGTAGTTCAATTTTATGGGATTCTCTATAATCATCACTCTATAAAGCTTAGACAGCAAACCTTTAGAGGATTTGGGGTAGAGTGTAATGATTTTTTCTAGACTGGTAAGTTCTCTTTGGACCATTCCTGTTTCTGCTAATCATTCTATAAGATCCCTGAGATGTAGATAATTGTGCCAGTGAGATTGTTGATTCATTTTATGATCGAAGTATATTTTGTCTAGTATTTTGCCTTTGGAAACTAAATCAGGGGCAGCTCAAGTTTGCTTTTTTCCAATCTATGTAGGCCTGTAGGCTTTTACCTGGCCCAAACCAGTCCTGATGTGTGTAGGTGGAGAGTTGAGATATCCCAGTGGCTGGGAGTAGTTTATTATTATTGTCCCAAATCTTGGACTGAATCCAACATCACAGTCATTCACAAGGAAGGCAAAGATCCATCCAATACAGCCTCATATAGACCTATTGCCTTACTGAATCACGATAACAACATTTTCACTAACAATAATCGCAAATAGACTGAAATGTATAATTACTGACTATATTCATCTGGATCAAACGGGCTTCATTCCAGGTCGGCAAATACCGGATAATGTTTGCAGAACAATGGACATTATTATACATGGAAGATGGGCATGGAGGGAATCAGCCATCCTTGCACTTGACTTCGAAAAAGCCTTCGACTCGGTTGAGATAAGGTTTATTCTTGCCCTATGTGGACATCTAGGATTTGGACAGACGTTCCGAAAAATGTTGTACTCCATCTACTCCGATAACAGGATTAAAATAAAGGTCAACAGAAACAGCTCTTCCCCAGTTCAGCTCAACAGAGAACCAGACAAGGGTGTCCCCTTTCCCCACTAATTTTTGCCCTGGCCATTGAATCCTTAGCAGAAAAACTCCAGCAAAAAGAAACCTTTTAGGGGGTTGTTATCAATGAGATAGAACACAAAGCTTGCCTCTATGCCGATGATCTTACCTTATACATCTCGGATCCTGTAAACTCGTTACACTCCATTAAGGAAGAACTTGCATCATTTGGAGGTGTCTCAGGGCTCAAGATCAACTCCACCAAATCTGAGATCTACCCAATAAACATCAAGCATACAACATAACTTGTACTCCAACAACAACACCCCTTCAAATGGATATCCGAATCCTGGAGATATCTGGGAGTTCACATTCCAATAAACTTAAGAGACTTAGTTAAAACCAACTTCCACAAACTTGCTGAAAATGTCAAAACCGACATAGAAAGCTGGAAAACTCTTAAACTATCGCTCCCAGACAGGTTTCATCTGATAAAAAGTCTCATAATGCCTAAGTTTATATTTCTATTCCAAACTCAATCCATCCCCATCACCAAAAAGGACTTGGACTCCTGGCAAATGTTTTTAACACGTTTCTTTTGGGATGGGAAAAAATCTGCAGTAAATTATAACATCACCCACAGAACAGATAAGCAGAGAGGACTCAACCTCCCCTCGTTTTGGGCATATCACCAAGTGGCGATTCTTGCATGGGTAGTACAAATGCAACACAAAGGACAGGAAAAACAATGGATGACAATTGAGCAATCTTACACAGCACCTTATGACCTGCAGAGGATTTTTTTGGATCAAGCCAACTCTAAGATCCAAAAGCATCAATACCAATACTAGAGAGATTGATATGACTAAGTATTAAGTACCAGCTGCTTGAAAACAATTGACCAGAAAGCAATTGACTCCTCTCCATTTGCCAGTCCTTTGTTGACAGGAAAACTTTTAAAAACCAGTTTACAGCCCCAAATGTCCAAATATTGAGGTGAACCTTTCAGTGGAGGGCACTTCCCACATTTTTTCAGAGGGATAGTATGATGATTCTTGGACATGCACATGCCTAGCCTCTCTTCTAGCAGTATATCAATATATTGGTATAGTGCACACACAACAAAGGGGTGGGGATTTGCTTCTGTGATGCCACCATTGACAATACCACCCTCACTCAAAAATCCTGATTTTTAAGTAGGGTTGCCATTCCCCAGGTCTGGGTTTTGGGGGCTTCTGCCCACTGCTGGAAGCCCTGCCTACAAACAGCAACACCCCTGTGCGATGTCCCTGATGCAATGATGTCACCTGGATGTGATGTCATCGCATCACGGACATGGTGCAGCGATGCTTTGCTTTTGGGGCAAAACTGGTTTGACTGCAATTTTACCATAGAGTTTTGCCCCCAAACCATAATATCGCTGCCATGATGATGCCAACATTGCTGCCATGATGATGTCACTTCCAGGTAATGTCAGTGCATTGGCAATGTCCCTGCCCACTCCCAGAATGCCTTCCAGATCCCCCCACCAGCAAGATGAGGGGACCTGGCAACCCTATTTTTAAGACACATCTGTAAGAGAATAAACTGACAAGGCAATTGGAAAAATGTGGAGGGAGGAAAGACACGTGAAATTCTGGTGCTAGTGGACTGACTTTTTAAGAAAAGCAGGAATAAGTCATACCTGCGGAAAACCCCATAGTCTGGGCCCAGAAACCTGTTCTGCACTACCCAGGCATTTTGCTTTTTAATCTGCACTGCTGAGCACCATTTTAACATTGACACAGTTTAGCTGGAGAGAACAATTACAGTGACATTGCTGGTATGGTTCTAAATACACGTGAACATTTCTTTATACTATAGAGGTATTCTGTGGGGGTACATTACATTACAATAGAATGAGGTTTGATAGGAGAACAGGGACATTTTCTCTCTTCTACTCGCTCTTCAAAGAGATCCCTTGGGAGCAATAGGATTTAATAAAGCCTTTTCCCTTCAGCAGTCTGAAGAAGTCACAGGGGGTACAACACAGCACATTGGGAGCTTGATTTTTTAAAAAATGTATAAAAGAGCTGTTCTTTTTAGTGACTTGCTTACACTAGAAGTGGCATGACTACATTACAGTAAAGTATAGATCTAGTTGGTTGATTGCTTGGTATTTGGTTTTGCAATTTGCTGCTGAGGTATAGCTTTTTTGACATAACATAGCTCTATTAGAACAATTTTCCA